AAAGTGGTAAGATGGCACAAGTATTCATTATATATAATTGACATCAATCTCTCCATCACAATGACTTTTATTATATATATGTGTGTGTATTATTCCCTAGTAAGTGATTATTAAGTAGTTGGAAAGTATTTAGTTAAATTCATTACGTATGTATCTGAATTTATAATATATATCTACAGTCCTTCTGAATTACTCTTCTTTTTAGAAAAAGAAAAAAAAACACAATCAGAACCCTTTAATATTAATTATTTACTAACTATTTATTAGTTCCATTCCAGTATGGGAACTTTCAAGTAAGGAAGCCATGTAAAACCGCCATGACATCGAAGTGCTCTTTAACTGCTTAACAGATGATCAGTTTACCACCTTAAGCTTCATCCACGGGAGACCACACAGGCGCCTAGTTTTCATTTGTCGGCTCCAGAGTGATATTACCACAATCAAAAAGAACAAAGTAGGCACATTTGTTAATATCCTTGCAGCAATCATTGCGATTTCCACAGGAACTGCAAGGAACCTTGTGCCCCATTTCAGCAACCTTCTTGCGCATGTCCGTGACATGGACCTAAGTATTCAGTAAGAGTTGATCAAGCAGTCAGAAAGCAGTCAAATATTACTTACAGTGCCATTTTTTTTCACCGGTAAAGAAGGGGTACCTGCATCAACAGACATAGCGCAAACGAAGTGAGTATCTGCAGAAGTACTTGCTCCGCCACCATCCTGCGAGTCCACCGCAGAGAACAACCGCTTGTACCATTCTAAGCAGTTGCTAAGCGTTTAGTAATCGGCTTACAGCAACTTTATAACCACTTACTTGTAGCCTCATCGACTGTCTTCTGGGGCACCCGGCCACCACTATTTCCCTCCTGCAATTCAATATCGCCATGAGTTTCAAGGTGAGTGCGAAGGTTATTGGTTGCGGTGTATTTTTTCTAAGTGATTAACAACTGATTAGCAAGTACTTGAGTATTAGTTAAAGATCCATACTCGCGACTTCGAGCAGTCCGGCACCCGACAAAAGAGCTCCCCGTAGTAGATCTTGATCGAGCCATCCTCCCTCTGAGCAGTTTCTAAGCAGTTAGAAACCATTTAGGTGATATTTAAGCAAGGTAAAATTAAGGCTCACCTCTTCGTAGGGGGGCAGCTCGAGGCGACCGTCAGCCACCTCACTCAAATACCTGATATACCATTTCTGAAAAAGAAAATTAGATGTCTGCAATGGAATCAGTTATTCATTGATTCTTAATAAAAACTTACATTCGTGGCAAGGGAGGCCATGAGGATTTTTGTGAGGGCGTTGTAAATGCTGCGAAAGTGGTTGTGCGTGATGAAATCTTTTTCGGGAAGGTAAAGTGTCATGCGAGTATCACATGATTGCTCAGGTAATTACATAAGTGGACTCCACTCACGCGACCCAAATAACGACCCCGACTCATCTGCAACCACGCTCAGGCTGACTGTAGCCCACGCTGAACAAGCCCTAAAGGGTACAGAAAATAATGTAACTAACTAATCTGTCATTATGAATAAGAGTGAGCTAGAAACTTCTCTATTTGATTATGGTTTATGTTGTTAATATATAGGGAGAGAAAGAAAAGGCCTAGTTACAGCAAAAACACTGAGGTTTTGACAATCCTCATCAAGCTGTGGACCTGAGCGGATATATTTTCTTCTGTCGAAGTATAGGAGTTACTGAAATACTATTACCCTGAAAGAGTGACTGTTATGATGTTATTTTAGTACAGTGGAATAAGTTTTCTGATATCTTCTTTCAAGATGACAGAAGGCTATTCTTTGTTCTCGTTCGACTCGAGACTAAATCTAAGTCGATAGTCAGGCATCTGATATATTTTGGCTCCAGAGATATAGCGTACATGAAACAACTGTTGAATATCACTATGCAATTCTGCTTCAGCACAGCAAAAGAGAGTGTACATGATAGGTTTGATCTTGCTTTCCTATGATTATATGTTGTAAGTTCAGCCTGAACTTCTCTAATTCAGTGAGAATATACCAGTCGCCAACTCTTATAGTAAACTTTTCATAAATTGTCGTATCAACTCTATAATGGAACTCAAAACACATGGTTCTGCTTGCATGATCTATATTCTTACACATGCCGTGGCATCACCATTTATTATTAAACACCTCCCCCTTCACATAATTTATCATCTCACTCACTGGTGAGAGGTGGTCCTGCCCGCTCCCAAACAGCATACCTTGTCGCATCACCTTCCGATAGTTCTTGCCTGGCGATACCTTCCCCAGAACATATTCCTGCCGTGTCTCGACACGGGTCGGGACGGGGATGGAACGGCCAACAACTGCCTCCATGCCCTGCCAGGCGAAGGTGATAGCCTCCTTGGCGCCGCCGGGGATGCCCGCAGCGTCCAGCATTAAGATCCGCGTATTCGGGTAGTGTTTTTGGATATACTGGGTGATGTTGGGATTGTAAGCCCCGCCGCCGCACATGAAGATCTCATCGATCGGCAGGTCCTTGGGAGCATAGCGACGATAGTGGTCCACGATGGCCTGAGCGGTGATACGAGTGATGGTGGCGACCACATCATCTGGGCTGAGTCCCTTGTTTTCCGCCTTGCGGATGAGGTCGAATGCCAAGGTGTCCCGAAACACTTCGCGGCCAGTGGTCTTGGGGGGATCGAGCCGGAAGTATCGGTGGTTTTGGAGGAACTCATCGACAAGTTCCTGGTCGACCGTGCCACGGGCGCCCATCTCGCCATCTTTGTCGTACTCCTGCTCGCCGTTGGTGTAGTGGCGGACCACGGCATCAATGAAAACATTGCCAGGGCCGGTATCGAAATCGTAGCAGGCATCGATGCCTCCGTGCGAGTCAGGTGGGATAAAACATACGTTGGCGATCCCGCCGATGTTCTGACAGGCGCGCAGCTTGGTCGGGTGGTGTAGTAGCAAGGCATCAAAAAAGGCGATGAGCGGCGCGCCCTGGCGGCCGGCAGCCTGGTCACTGACTCGAAAGTCCGTGACGGTGGTGATTCCGGTGCGAGCAGCCAAGAAAGAGCCCTCGGCCATGGTGAGCGCGCTGCGTACTTCCCCTGGCTCAGGCATGGAGAGGAGCCAGATGGTCTGACCGTGAGATCCGATAACATCGATGGTCGACATGTCGACCTCGTAGTCCTGGCAGAACTGCTTGACGGCAGCCGCAAATGTCTCTCCCAGAATGACGTTGACTTCCGATAGCTCCGACGGGGAGGTCTTATTGTGAAGGATAATGTTCATGACCCGCTTCTTGATGGTCTGCTCGAGGGGGATTTCTCCATACTACGGCGAGGACATGGTGTGTCAGTGTCTCCTTCGCACCCACTGTCACTGCGTTTAGGATACCTGCGCGACGTACCTTAAGAAGCTCGAAATGCATGGGAGACTCCGGAGTCTCCTGACGAAAATGGCATAGAGCGCAGTCAATTCCATCCTGCAAGTTTATGTCAGACCCCGTTATTTGTCTCCCACATCGACCTTGGCGATACCACTCACCATTGATGTACCGCTGTTCAAGCCCAGGACCGTCAAGTCCAGGGCCTGGCGGGTGGGAGCACCGTTGACAGTCATAGCTGGTAGCCGGAGAAGGTGTATCGGTAGTAACTAAACCCGGCCATTGGACTTCAGCGGACGGAGCAAGGGATTAAATAGATTGGCACAGTCAGCTTCCATCTTATTTGCCTTCATATGAGTATTGCGAGCCCTCACAGCCAAGCCCACGGAACGTCATTGGCCTGAATTCCAACCATCCCTGCTTTGTCATTGGCTGGACGTGTAAATTGCTAAACGGTTGAGCGCTTAAATGGTAAAAGGCTAAATGGCCAAAAGGCTAAACGGCCGAAAATTTACTAGGACGCCCTCCGCATTTTGCCTTCTCCCCAAGTTTTCGCCATCCTGCGGACGTACGGAGTACATTTTGATACTATGCCGGACGAAACTCCTCCAAAGCGCCTCAATCCACCTTTATTTTATGGATCGGTTTGGCCGGGGCTTGGTATGGAGCAGGGGATCAGGCCCCAGGCTAATATTTAAATCGATCTCCTCCCCCAGCATTTCCCCGCCCCCGGCATTGGTCTCCTTTCCACTATTTGCAAGCTCGAACGGCCTGTGCATGAACTCGGCGGTTTGATATCTTTTTTTCAAAGGTCAATGCATCATGGGGTACACCACCCTTTGGAAGCGGCTTTCGCCTGCGCAGCTCAATGCGGCAATCCAGATTTTCTCCCTTGTTTGCATATTCTTCGAGGGCTATGACCAAGGGGTCATGGGAGGCGTCAACAGCGCGCCCACTTATGTTGTCGAGGTCGGCATTGGCAAGTCTGATGGCACGGTGACTGATACCACCCACCAGGGGGGTATTGTCAGTATCTACTATCTCGGATGCATCTTTGGTTGCTTTGCAGGCGGCTGGCTGGCCGACCGCATCGGTCGAATCAATGGTCTTCTGATCGGCTCTCTCTTTGCGTTGGTTGGAGGTGCTCTGCAAGCTGCAGCCCAAAGCTCCGACTTCATGCTGGTTGCCAGAGTCGTGACAGGCGTCGGTACTGGAGGTATGTCCCGCCTGGTGAGGATACTCGTTGCAATTGGCCTCTGCTGACTTTGTATCTACTAGCATTGACCGGTATAACGCCAGTTCTGGTGGCAGAGACTTCTTCAGCAGAACACCGTGGGGGGTTTTTGGGATATGTCTTCATTGCCAACTGCAAGTCTCACCTGCTGGAATGCACTTATAGTAGGAATATTGACTGACATCTTCTAGACCTAGGGATTTCGGTGGCATATTGGATGGCTTTTGGACTCGCCTTTATCAATCACGGTTATTCCGACATCCGGTGGCGGTTTCTGCTCGCTTTTCAATGTGTCCCCGCCCTGATACTGGTGCTGTTCATCAAAATGCTACCAGATAGCCCGCGTTTTCTTGCATCGGTTGGTCGTAACGACGAGGCTCGGGACCTGCTGACCAGGGTCCGCTGCCATAAAGCCACCCCCTCCGAGATTGACCATGAATACCTGGAAATCGTTGCGTCCGCTCAAGACAGCAAGCCCAGTTCTCCTGTTCAATTTGTCAAAATCCTGTTTGGCAAGGGTGGCAGACCAGGTTCCAATCTTGGTCGACGGGCCTGGCTTTGTGTATGGCTTCAGATCATGGCATCGTGGACGGGTATTACAGTAAGTTCTGTGACGTCCTGCATAGTGGGCACAATCATGACTTACATGATCACAGGCTGTTACGGCATATTCCCCTGTTCTTCTCAAGCAAGCTGGTTATAGTGAGATCACTCAAAATGGTCTTGCAGGAGGACTGAACACAATTGGCATTTTGGGCACAATAATAAGTGCGCATATTGTGGATCGACTTGGCCGGAGAAAGTGTTTGATGCTAGGATCTACGATCCTGTTTATTGTTGAACTTGTGGTAAGTCTTCATCAATTATTACCCTGTTAAGAGCAGAAACTAATGTAATTATTGTTGCAGGCGGGGTCCGTCTATGAAGGCTCACTTCATAACCCAAATAAAGCTGCACAGTTTGCACCAGCTGCGGTGGCAATGCTCTTCCTCTTTAACCTGGGCTATGCTGCGACCTGGGGAACGGTGGCCTTCCTTGTGCCAACAGAGATTTTCCCATCGGATCTTAGGGCGCAAGGGAACGGCTTCGGCATCACTGGTTGGGCTATTGGAGTAGGTATGACTACATTGGTCAACCCCATCATGTTTGGAACCATGAAGAGTCGAAGCTACTTCCTCCTTGCTGGGCTCAATCTTCTCTGGATTCCAATCGTGTACCTGTTATATCCCGAGACTCGCAATCGGTCCCTCGAATCGATTGACGCGTTGTTCTCCACGTCCAGCCCGTTCTATTGGGACATGGAGCGAGCCTATCAACTTCATAGTGACGTGCTCGCGGAGAAAGGAGCGCGGAAACTTTGTGACGAGGATGGCACGAAAGTAGCAGGTCAAGAAACAACCCACGAAGAATTCCATGAGACGGCAACGGTTGGTGTCTAATGTGTACGCTATCTCATCGCAGATACAGGTTTTGGTTTGGGGTTATAAAGTTGGCATTCTATGTTCTGATCCCTTGAATATGAAAATGTACAGGCCGCTACCGGCCAATTCCAAATCTATCTTAGGGAGCACTCTGATCTTGACTCATGGAGGACGAGGTCTTATATCAGCCAACATTACTTAGCTTACAATAGGCTGCGCTGATGATAACCGCCAGAAGCGTAGGGAGACATGGACTCCGCAGTCAAGCATGATGTGGGCAACTGTAATTTGTAGGGCCCATCTGTGCACTTCTACTACATTGTTGATAGGCATTGTACGCGCATCGATGAACTAATGCAAATCTGGCGTCTCCACAGATCTTGTGACTTTTTGGGCGACTACTCCGCCTGTTTCATGTCTGCCATGCTTCAGTCTTAACAAGCAATGGTTGAAGGACGGGCCGGTCATCCCCTTCCCCAATGGAATGGGCCTCTCTCTTAATCACTGGTGAAATGTGTGCAAAAAGCCGCGAAATAGCCATTAGGCATGGCAGTCTCTGGCTGGGATGGTGCTTTGACCTACAGGGAGCTGGATCGCGCGGCCACCCAGCTTGCTGCTTCGCTTGTCGCTCATGATGCAAAACCATTGCTATATGTGCCATATGTAGTGGGAAGTCATGATAGACTATTATAGCTGTGCTGGTGCTATGTTCATTCTTCTGGACCCCTCACATCCCTCCATGCGACTCAGGAAGCTTTTGCGAGCATGTGAATGCTGGCTATATGGTCTTAGTTACACAGGCTTCTATGTGCCTGAAGTTGGCCGAGAATATCATCATTACTAGAGAAACCAGAGGAGATAAATGTCTGACGCATCATTCTAGCCTGTTGCTGGGTACCCGACACTGCTGGCCTACATCATCTTCACACCAGGCATAATGGGGCCTCCTAAGGGCGTTATCGTGCCTCATCCCACACACACGGCCGCTGCCAGGGAGCAGACCTGTGCCTTCCCCCTGGCCCCAGATCAAGGGTCCTCCAGTTCTCTTCATATGCTTTCAGTGTCGATATAATGCAGATCCTGACTATTCTACTTGCCCGGGGGACTATGTATGACCCTTCCGACACCAAACATGATTAGATATTACTTGAGGGCGCCTGTCCGCTCAGTGTGATGTATGTATTTCTCACCCCCTCCATGGCAGCGACTCTTTGTGCTAATCAACCAGAATTGGCGGAAATGGTGATACTCCTGAGAGAGCCAAAGAGGCGGGTACTATAATAATTAAACCATTACTATCCCCCTTTAAACTCTCTACCCTTATTGACTGCTTGCCTCTTTAAGAGTGTTCAATTACTTTATACTAGTGCTTAGTGTATTTATATTCTTTCCTTATATACATACTCTCCTTCTTCTTTCTTTACACTGAGTATTTTCTAATATCACCATACATTTCGTATGCTTGGATTGTCTGTCATACTAAGTTGGATCTGGACTGACTCCACTGGGCATGCTGGGAGGTGGTATTGCGGTTTAGTATCCTGCAGATGGTCTTTCAGAACGCTCGTCATCATCAAGGCTCGGTCATTCTCCGGAATTTTGACCTAAGGTTCTCTCTGCTGAAGTCTGATGACATGAGAATTTACCTAAGAAAGCAGACCATATGCTGCACGGCTACTGCCACGCCACTTGAGCCATTGCTCATAAGTTTTTGCCTTGCAAAAAGTACTCCTCGGAGCACCTCAGCACTTATTATGCATCTTTCTCATGCGCAATACAATAGAGTCAGCCTCTCCTTCCTGTAGCAGGCAATCAAGGTCGTCTATCAGGGGAGCCCCTCCCTGCCCTGGCTCCATTCAGCCATCTTGCGCATGACCAGAAAGGACGTACCACTCTGACAATGCTTCTTTCTGGAGCACGTATCATCAGGGAGCATCTGCCGCTTATAGATCTTTACATCATTGCTCCCCCAAGAAATCTAAACATCTCACGGATAGCCCACAGGGAGCTTATGCAGCTGTGATTGGTTTTAGGGGCCATGATAGCAATGGTGAAGGCTGCTGTTTCATGAACCCTCTCTCGATTCATTGCAAAGTCAGATATCATCATTGGTCAAATTCCTCCTTGTCCGCGTTACAGCCAACTATGAACATACAGTTTCACGATTCTTGCAGTACGTCCAGCTTCAGCAGTATTGATGGTCCCGCACGATTCTCTATCCCTTAGAGAGATCGCAGGACACTGCACCGACTAGCCGCTGAATGCCTGATTCGGCTGTCTGGTGCATCACCAGGCAGTTTAGTCACGGACTTCATTTGAGTATCATCTGCATCTCGGGATACATCCCATCCCTCGCCTGGCCAGATCAATGTCATCTCTATCAAAGGAGAGCTACGATGGATCAGGTCCTTGGCGCCGCTGAATGTCCCAGCTCAGGGCTCGCTCGACAGCTCGCTGATAGACTTTCGGATCCCATCACACTGTTCCCGAACATCCCGATTGCTCTTTGGCGGCGCTGGAAGAAAGCAGGGAAGAATGGCCTTGAAAGGCATTAAGCTCTGCTTTATGAATGCTTCCTATACAGGGCATCGCTGCATGCCAACTGAATACCTCATAGGAAAGGTTAGATAACACCTACTTAATGTTCCTACCACTGTAATAAATCATGTCCAGTATTACTTGAACTTAATAGAGCGGAATTAGGATGTGAACACAGTGGGAGCTTATTTTAATTATGATATTAGCTATTAATAATCTATCACTGCCTTTCACTGACTTTTTCTCTACTGGAATTGCTTTATGCAGGTAACAAGAGTAGGTCTGTGAAAATAATGTAAAATATTGCACTGCACCTATCTAAACCCTAGATCTTAAATGCACGCATGCCTCTCTGATAATTTATAGTTTATCCTCCCGATCCACCCAGATTCTTCTTGCCAGAAGAAAAATCCGAGGTTGCCACTGCTGGTCTGATTGATTTTTATTCCGTTTTCTTCTCCCCAATGGTTAAGTCAGAATATCAACCTATCTTCATTCACAACACTCACAGTATCTAGTCCTCATGCATATCCTTGTCCTTATTTTGTAGATAATTCCCACAGCTGAGGAACCTAAATTAGTTCATTATAGATAGCCTTTACCTCGATATTACGCTTTGTGACGAGTAACCAAAAAAGAATCATATCATGGGAATGGAACATAAGACATCAATTACTATATTTCCGGTCTGATGTAAATAAACTATGCAGTTAGAGAATCATAATGGTCGCGCCACATCTTGTCAATTACACCATGACTCAAGCATATTAAGACATCAAAATCATCTGATGTTTTTGCTATCCGGATTTCTTCGTGTACCTTGGATGGTCTTTCAACTAAAAATTGCTAACCTTGTCTTGTCTGAACTGTAAGTGACTCAAATTATAATCTTTCGCCACCCATTCTATCTTTATATGCAGTGGCCTGATATTAGCTTTAGATTTGATGAGGACAGTGCCTCATCTTATAGAGTGATATAAAGGGTATTCACAGTCTTACAGTACTAATTAATATAGAGGTTTGAAAAAGAAGCCCTCCCTTCGCCATGTCGTCTCAATACAACTACCATTATGAGCCAGCCAGTTCAATGGCCTCTCGTCGCATCATTGAAGAAGATTCTTATCAAACAACTCCACAAGCAACCGATACCGACACCATCCCCTTATATGGCCAAGTGACGTCTGAAGACTTGTCGTCAACGTTTGATCCAGAGATTATCGACATGCAACTTAAAGAAGAGATGTTAAGGAGAAAGGTTGCTCTTCAAGAGTCTAAGGTAAGCACCGCGAGACCTTTCAATACATATTTTTTGATTAATTATGCTCACTGAATCAGAAAAAAGATGGAGACTCTGCTGCAAAGGCGAAGGATGGGCGATGAATCAAGCATAAATTATAAGCCCCGGTCACTGGGAAAAAGTCCTGAACTTAATGACAAACAATATGGCAGAAATAAGAGTCTGTTGATGATCTCTCCCAATAGATCTCATGTAACAAACATTAAGCTCCCTCAGAGAAACTGGGTTGCTTTATTCCCCAATCAAATTAAGCTGGCCGCAGCACACAATATAGATCATGCCACTCAGCTGGTTGATTATTTGGGTGTAACGAGATGCTGTAAATACATCAAAGGTTGCTGTCCATTCATCAGATAGGTGATCAAGACAGGACAGGTCACTATGGACATGTACAGCAGGTCGCAGAAGCAAGCACCTACACCTAACTTGACTTCTGATAGTGACCCAGAGGCCGACATAAATGATCGAACAAGTTTGCACTTGATCATTTTTGCATGCAGCAGTTTTTATTTACTCCTAGCACTCTGGTAAAAAAGCTCCCTTGACGATCATGCCCGTCTTTACTCCCAAAAATGAACACTAACTCTGAACTAATAGGTTGATATACAAATCACATTGCACTGTTAGGGATGAGAATCAAAGCCTGCCTCGATCCTATGAACGATCAATTCACCAAATCATCGCAAACAAACTAAATGAGCTTGAAGAGGCCGCCCCTATAGAGCCTCTTGTTTCATGGCTGAGGTCAACGCAGCCTGCCGAAACTCCATGGTTCGAGTCCAACAACATCACATGGTAGGAAGTTGATCCATCTCGGTTGAAAGCGCGGGGATTTCTCGCTAACCTGGGTGACAGCTCCATTTGCTTAGAACCCGTCCTCGAACAGCATACAGTGCATGCTCTACAGTGTCGCCATGTTTTCCATGATCATTGTCTTGAAAGATGGTTCTTGAGGGCTCATAACAGCTGCCCATTGTGTCAGAGGGCATTAATTGAGGTCTGTGACATATGTCTGGATTTTGCCGATTTTGCCGTGTGAAATATTGAAGATATCCACCATGCCGCGCAATACTAGTAATGAAAACATGATATCAGAGGAATCTATTTTACTTGAATGGCTGCAGAGCTGAATAAACACCTGTATGAACATGAAAAGAAAACGCTCGAGTGAATTTCTCAATAGTTCTTCCATATGATCTGCATGTATTTCATGACATATTTGCAATCATAACTCTAATTATTGTTCTAAAGATACTTCCAAAGCTGTCTCAAGAGCTTTTTGCGCAAGGCTGAAAAGACAGTAGTAGCTCGGTCCACTATCAAGGATTGGGATTTTACTTTACTGATCCAAGGTACTTGCGGGCGAGACTCGGCCTTATTTTGTGGCCTGACCAAGTGACACCTCTCGGTCCCGAACCATGACGAAGTAAATCAATCGTGCCAATAGAAAAGCTAGACAGCATTCCCTTCTACGTGTCATTAAAATCGGCCATATCCATGTAGCAGATCTCGCTTGGTTTATATATTTAACAATCTTAACTGGTATCCGTATCCGAGGTTGTACATCTGAACAAGACACACATCATGCCGTTCATGTCATATGCTCATGTACTAGAACTAAGACGGTGGTTGGAAGGGACCAGAGCAAATGTGATCTGTTACGGATCCGATGACTATGCAGATAAGATCAAGAGATGGAGTGATACTTGTGAGCAAGACGCAGTGTGTTCCCTCCGCTCGCTCGTTCTACTTGCCATGGTGACTGATTTCCAGCCAGGGTGCTATAGTCGAAGTTACTTGTACATCAGAAGTGTCTGAAGCAGTGCAGTTTGCCCGAAAGAACCATATCAAGTTTGTCACCAAGGCTGGTGGACATTCAACCACTGGGTCGTCTGCTAGCCACGGTGGACTGGTCATAAGCCTGACCAAAATGCGACATGTCGTAACCGACCCTGCCTCCAAAACCGTGTGTGTCCAGGGAGGAGCTATTTGGGACGATGTTAACGAGTCCACTGCACCTTATGGCTTGGCAGTGGTTGGATCCACTGCAAGCCACACAGGAGTTGCAGGGCCGACGTTGGGGGGTGGCTTTGGGTGGTTAACTGGGCGATACGGCCTGATTGCCGACAATCTACTAAGCGTCCGAATGGTTTTAGCGGACGGTACCATCGTGGAGGCATCCGACGAGAGCCATCAGGACTTATTCTGGGCAGTGCGCGGCGCAGGACAAGCCTTTGGAATTGTGACAGAACTCGTTTTTCGGGCTCATGACCTTGCCGCGCCAGTTTATGGTGGAACGCTCATTTTCACTGTGGATCGCTTACCGGGAATTCTCGAATTCGCCAAGCGTTTTGATGAGCAGCAAGATGAAGACAGTGGCCTTTTCTTTGGGCTGGCGGCGCCATCAGCTGCTGATCGCACGGCTATCTTGGTTTTGCCATTCTATAATGGCAGTCAAGAGAAAGCCGACGAGTTCTTCGCGCCGTTGCTCTCTCTGAGCCCCTCCATGAACAAAACGTCTATGATGTCCTACAAGGAGCTTAATAGAGTTGCAAATGTCGATCCAGTACCAGAGGGCCGGAAATGTTTTAGTGGGACCAAAGTATACATGCCACTTGATAAGCATTTGGTCAATGATTTGTGGGAACATTTCGACGCGATTATGGAAAAATATCCGCGATCGAGACACAGCGTGCTGATGTTTGAGCTCATACCTTATGGGAAGACAATCGAAGTCCCTATCGACGCCACAGCCTGTGCTGATCGAGGACGATACTACAACGTCGCCATACTTCTGTGCTGGTATGACCCTGGGCATGACGCCGCAATGCATACATACTTGCGTGCCCTACTCTCCAAAATCAAGAAATCGGACTGTTATGCTGGACAAAAAGAGAATGTGCAAGCCTATGCTAATTTTGCTGGTGAGAGGCCCTGATATTATCCTTCTATCTCGATTATATACTGATAGCCCACTGTAGGACATGAAACTGGAGCCAGCTACCTCTTCAGGGACAATCTGCCCCGATTGCAGGCTCTGAAGAGCAAATATGATCCGCACAATATATTCTCCAAGTGGCATAATCTCATCTCTTTTACAGAAAGGCACTCATGACAGCACTCATGACTATAGGGTTTAAGTTGGGTTCTTTGATGATGAACTTCTTTTTTCGCTGCTTGAGAATTTAAATGTTATTTTTTGCATTGAACAAAGGATACTCATTGTTGATAGGAATTACTGTCAAAAGGATACATATGTATGACCTTATGAGCAATGAATACTACATCTGAGACAGTCTAAGATCTCACCACTAAAAGACTCATAGAAGAACTTTTCACCACGAACAGAACCCCACAGACCTTGGATGGGCTGATGAAGGGCCAATATAAATCCAAAAGACAAATATGGACATGTGCAATGGGGTTCTGATCACCACACCACAGAAAGCTCAACACTGCCAAAGTGCCTAGAAAGTGAAATACACGATTCAACTCAGCTGAAACAGAAAAGAGACACCGGAAAAGTAGGACAGAGCAATTTCATCGACGATTCCTACCCAACCCCCTTCCCCCCCCCCCCCCCCCCCCCCCCCTCCCCCTTCCACCCAATTTCCATATATAACACAAATAACACAAATTTGAATTTTTTATTATGTTTATTGATTTTTTTCAATTTGTTTTTCTTTTATCGTTAATAGTCTGTAATAGTCTTATGAACCCTACAGCATCATGCCGGATCAATCTCGAACGAACAATCAGAAATCATTAAGAAAAA